TGTAGAGGACTACAGAAAAGCTGTTAGCCTTGAGATGCAATCGTCCACCTTACCATCACAGAGCGTATCTTCACTCATTCACCACTTCTCCAAGCAACTATTCAGCACTGCAGGAACCCCAGCTGCTCTTCCATCAGAATTATGTGGGGAAAAAAAGGTGTTCTAGAGGGACAACAGGAAGAAGTTTATGCTCTACATTCACATTGGAAAGAAAGCAAGGCTTTAGTTAAGATCCCACGTTAAAATCAGACATCAGCATAGTATCTTCTCACATAAGACCCCCTGGTAGGACCACAAGGTCAGACACCAACCAAGCACCAACAGGTCTCAGAAATAAAAAGAAACATCACAGATGGCTTAATTGAAGACTTGAATTCATGGAGGGCTGTCCTACAGCTGGCTGCTCATTCAGATTACAGCACTGCAACAAGGAATATATGGAATGTTACAGCTACTTCTGAATCATAACTCACACAAGCAGTTTTTCCCCCCCGCATCACTGCACCCTAAAATATATTAAGTTAGCAGAGAAATAGAATGAGAGCATCTGCAAACAAGACTGTCACAGAGCAAATCCACACCTCAAGAAGCACTTGTGTAAGGAATCCCAGCAGCAAACAAAAGCAATGAGAAGACCCCAACACGGAGCTTGGAGTGGTTGTGTATGAATCCTGCTGCTAATAGCAGAGATCAGCCAGCAGCATGGAAATGGCTCTGCCTTGTGGGCACAGGCCAGCACGAGGGATGGGAGGAAATACATGAAATCACTGATAAGCTGGGAGGTGAATGTGTTACAGAAATGAGGGCCCCTCTCTGAATAGGAAGCCACACACTCAGAAGGCTCTAAAGAGATGTCAGCATGCCTTTATTACAACTCTGATAGGTGAGAGAAAGAGCTGGCCGAATGCTTTGGTGCCACAGAGATCCCTTCTTCAGACAAGTGGCAGGGCAGTGCCACGGCTCCTGCTGGCAGACAGGCATCCTCCAGCCCCCTGGGCAAAGTCAGAGCCTTATGGCTCAGTAAAGCACCCGGGAACAACCCCGTGGGAGGGGTGGCAGCTGCCTGACCTGCACACCTGAGGCCTGGCTGCCACCACCACCAAATAGAACAGCATCGTGGCCTGCAGAACGGCTTGAGCTGCAAGGGGCCTTAAAGCCCAGCGCCTCTGGGCAAGGGCGATGCACGCACAGCCCCATCCAGCCCAGCCCTGAGCACCTCCAGGAACAAGGCATTCCTGGAGCCTCGTCAGGGCCTCGTCGTATTCACAGGGAAAGATTTCTTCCCTACATCTAATCGAAACCAGCCCTCTTTCAGTTTAAAGCCATTACCCCCCACCCTGTCACTACGCTCCCTGATAAAGAGCCTTTCTTCGACCTACTCGTGGGCCCCTACGATACCACCAAGTCCCTTACAGCTCTGCAGCTGCACTTCTCCGCTGAGGCCCACCAAGGAAGGCACAGCGCCGCGGGGCGAGCGGCTCCGGCCCACAGCCACGCCGCGACCGCCCTCCGAGCGCACCGAGGGGCCCGCAGGCGGCCGCACGGCGCGGGGCTACGCGTCCCGTCAGCTCCGACGCCCTGCCCGGGGCCTCCGCCCGCCTCTGGAGGCTCTGAGGCCCGGAGGAGCAGAAGGGACCCGAGGGGACAACGACGGGTCCGCGCTACGGCCGAGCCCCGCACTCACCTCCACCCGCTCCGACCCGCGGCCCGGCACCGCCTCCTGACGTCATCACCGTGCGCCGGAAGCAAAGCTGATTGGTGGAGAGCCGGCGGTGGGAGGGGCAACGCGTGCACTGTGCCACCGCCCAGCGCTCTAGCGCCCCCTGTCGGCGGCCTCCGGAGAGGTGGGCGTACGGGTCTGAGCCCTCGGGACTCGGAGAACTTCCATCGGAACGTCGCTTTCTCGGATCGTTTGTGCTGTGGAGAATCACCAGAGCCAAGAGGACGTCTGGGCAGCTGTGTCATTGTTCCCAATACCCAACCTGAACCTCGGTGTGATGCCATCAGTGTGATGCTATCACCCTCACCCTATCGCTGTCACCCAGGAGCAGAGGCTGAACCCGTCCCCACGTCCTCCTGTCAGGGCTGCAGCTCTACGGACTCCTCTTCTCCACACTGAGACCCACCCCGTTCCCTCAGCCGCTCCCACAGGACTGCACTCAGACCCCTCACAGCTCCGCTCCCTTCTCTAGACACGCTCCAGAGCCTCATTCCACTCCTGAGGCTATGAAGGGACAAGGAGGAGGGTGCAGGGGTTCAGCCTCAAAGGACACAAACCGAGGGACAGGTTATCCCCGGATCCATTTGGCAACCAGCTCAAGGTTGTCCCAGCAAGGCCGAGCAGAGGTCGGAGCAAGAGGATGTTCAATTAAATCTGCTTAGGAAAAGAAATCCAAAAAAAAAGCCCCAAAGCTGAGTGCAGAGGGGCTGCCAGGCTGAGGGCTGAGCACAGAGGTGACTCCAGCTTAGCTGTTCAGCTGCAGTCGATCCGTAGGGATTGAGGTTGTTCTGTGCCCCGATGGAAAGTTTGACTTTTGGCAGCCCTACAGCACCATGTCCTCCAGCCCCGAGACCAGTTGGAGTGTGCAGGAGAGCAGCTAGAAGGCATCAGCGCAAAGGAGAAGGTGTCACAGAGTCCCCTTGTACCTCTGCCAGTAGGGATTTCCTTTGGCAAAGGAAAGGAGGAGCAGACCATGGCATGGTGGAGGCAGCAGGCAGCATGGCCAGTTGGCCCTCAAGTTGCCATCCCACGTGCACTGTCACTGTCACACAGCTACCCAGGGCACTGTCACCATCTGATTCTGGCTGCCCAGGGATGCAGGAACATCTCCATCCCATTCTGCTACTGAAAAAAAGTGAATCTGTGCTCAGCTTTCCCTTGTCCCCTTCCCTTAAAAATAATAATAATTCAGGTTCGTCTCTCAGAAAAGAGAGAGGGAGATAATGTCTGCCGAGCATTTAATCTTCTGCCCAAAGAATAGCAGAGAGCAAATTAGGATCGACTCCAATTAATTTGCCTTGATGGGCAAAATCTGGAGAGCGGCCATATCTGGGAATTAAGAACAAAAGCAGGGAGTGCGAAGTAGGTCAATGGAGTTTCATAACCGGAGCGATGGGTTTTCACAACGCGCGGAGGCACCCGGAGAGCATGGATGGCACTGCTGCAGGAACCCACCTGCTGGGCTGTGTTTGGGGTTTAAAAGCAAGAGGGAAGGGTGGGATGGAGGGGATGGGGACATGGCGCTGGGGATGAGCCAGTCATGCTGTATGTTCTCTATTTTAGGGGGAAAATTTGTCTTGTGCCCAAGCAGAGCTCTCCCAAGCTAAGCAGCTTGGGACAAAGCTTAACTGTGTGGTCTCAGCTTCATGCAGTCATTTGAAGGACAACAAGTGAGTGGCTGTGAAGCGCAGAGGGCAGGACTGAGGATGGTGAGGCACTGGAACAGGTTGCCCAAGGAGGCTGTGGATGCCCCATCCCTGCAGGCATTCAAGGCCAGGCTGGATGGGGCTCTGGGCAGCCTGGGCTGCTGGTTGGTGACCTGCACACAGCAGGGGGTTGGAACCAGATGAGCACTGTGGTGCTTCTTAACCCAGGCCATTCTATGATTCTATATGCCCCTCCTGCCATAGGACACAGCTGCAGGACTGCCTTCTGTCTTCACCAGGAAGCCCTGAGCCCCTCTGAATGCAGGCTTGTGCCACAGCCCTCCTCCAAGGCCAGAGAAAGGCAAAAGCCAGCAGGCAGATGGAGCTCTGTCTGTTCCTCACTGTGGCAGCCCCAGGGCAGGATGAAGCCTACCGTGGCCAGCAAAGCCCCATTCCTAAAGCCACCCCATAGCCCTGCTGTGCCACACACCCACCTGTGAGCCAACCGAGGATACGTGTGCAACCTCACCAACCAGCAGCAGTTGAGCACCACAGCACGAGAAGGACATGAAGCTATTAGAGGGTGTTCAAAGGAGGGAACAAGCATCACCTCAGCGTTCCTCCAACCCCCAGCCACCTCCAGCTGCCCCCCAGAGGTGGCAGCCGCCAGCCCAGCGCTGATCCTCTTAGCCATCCCGGCACTAATTCAGCCTTAAACACAGGATTGTCAGAAATTGGAAATGGAAGAATAGGCAGATTATCCCCTGGCAGCAGCGTTAAACACGGACAGCGGCAGCTGCCATGCAAGGAGTGTCAGGGCAGCACTCTGTCCTGGGCTGCGTCCTTCCTGTACAATGCCTCGTTTTAATGAATTAATAGCAGGTCGTGCCAGGCTTGTGTGAACCAGCAGTGCTGGGAACACCGCCTCTGTCCTCAGAGAGCTTTAAGCACAGCAGATGCTCGACTGCTAGCTGCCAGCACTGACTGAGGCCGTGTCCATCACCGCTGTGATAAAGCTCTGCCAAAGCAGAGGGCCCTGCAGGAAGAGCTTTTCAGCTCCTGCAGGAAATAGACAAATAGTTTTCCGTGGTTTGATGTGGACAGTGAGAGCTGAATGTCTCGCTATAAGGGGGAGACATTCAGATAAAGTTACTTCAGCTATAACAGATCATCAAAACAGAAGACAAAAAACCCACACCCAACCATACTCTCCTCCCTACGTACCCTGATTTCCTTCATGACCACAAACAGGACCAAACATAGCGGGACTGGAATCAGAGAGATAGAAAATGGGAATCTCTGCAGAGAACTGCACGGTGCTGTGGATGGCAATGGGGCACCGTGGTGAACCAAAGCTGGGCTGGGCATTTGGGCTCCCCTGGGTGAGATGGCAGATTGATTGCATTGCTCTGGCCCTGCCTGGAAGGTGAAATCCCTGCAAAGCTCTTAGCACTCTCAGGGATGTCTGGGTGTGCCACACAATGAGGATATGGGGGTTCCCCGGGTGCCAGGAGGGGACAACACGAGGCCACCCTGAGCCACACGGGGTTGGGAAGGGCGCGAGGGCACCGTACAGCAGAGAGGCTGGAGAAAAGTAAAAGCATCTTTTAATATAAATATAAATCCATCTGAAGGGTTCCAGGAGAAGGTGAGGGCTGCGGGGGTCGGGCTGGGGCTCAATCTGCGCCCACACTGAGGTCAGCAGGGAGCCCAGGCTGAACCCCTAGTGCAGTGCACGGCGGGTCCTTGGCTGAGAGCAGCCCTATGCCCAAACCCCCAGCAGCAGCAGGGCCAGCAGGGGCAGGATGCTGGGGTGACCGTGGCGGGCCGAGCCCCGCAGCGTGGCCTGGTTGGTCTCAGCAGGCGGTGAGCCTTGGGAGCTGGCCAGGCGGCCCCGAGCACTGCACAGCTCCTGCAGGTTTCCCTGGAACTGGATCTTGCGGGATTCCTGGCGTAGAGACTCCCAGATGGCTGCAGCCTCTTCGGGGCAGCGGGACAGAACCCCGCTGGCACAGGCGTGGAACTCATCCCAGGACCTGGAAATAGGGATGGGCATCAGGGCGGTGGCAGCACCCGGGATCGGGGGACGGGGACGCGATGGCTCACCTGCAGATGGTGTCCAATTCTTGCGCCTCCTGGCCGCCCTCCTCCTCCTCCTCGTCCCGCTGCTGCCGCACGCTCTGGGCCATGCTGTCCCCCAAGCTGATGAGGCAGCCAGCAAAACCTTTGTAGATGGTGTTGCACTTCCCTGCTGTGCTGATGGGCTCCTGAGCGACGGCTACGGGCGGGGGGGGGGGGGATGGAGGAATGGAGCTGAGCCCCATCGCCAGGTTGCACCCGCTGGGCTCACGGTGTGGCACAACCCACCAGAGCCAGCAGCGTGTCCGTGGGTCCAGCATGCAAGCAGGAAAGCAATGGAAATGTTGGGTTTGTAAAGGAGGGGATGTGGGCACAGCGAGGGTGGGTTATTAAAGATCTCTTCCAACCTTCATGACTCCGAGGTTCTACGGAACAAACCAGCCCTTGCTGGGGACCCGAAGCAGAGGGGCTCACATCCATGCATGGAGTGGGACTGAGTTCCTTCACAGCCCCGGGAATTACAGTGTCTGCTGCATGGACCCTCATTCCCAGCCTTCTAGGATTGCTCCAGAGCCATCTGTGCATCCCTCTTATCCCCAAACAGCACAGATTAATTTGTGACTACAGCACGGCAAACAAAAGCAAAGGCTTTGAGTGGTTGAGCGAGGAGGAGGGATGCTCTAAGAGAGATAAAAGGGCAGGAGGACAGAAAGGGGGAGGAAAGGGAAAGGGGAGAGAAGCACAAGTGCAGCTCCGGCTTTGAGTGACTGAGGGAGATGGGGGGATGCTCTAAGTGAGATAGGAGAAAGGAGGAGAGAAAGAAAAGAGGAGAGAAAGGAGGAAAAAAAGAGGAGGAAGAGATGGGGAAAAAGCAAGTGTGGCTTTGGCTTTGAGTGACTGAGGGAGACGGGGGGATGCTGTGAGAGATAGAAGAGGAGAAAGGAGCAGAGAAAGGAGCAAGAAGAGATGGGGAAGAGAGGAAGAAGAGATGGAGAAGAGGCACAAGCACGGCTCCGGCTGGCCCGCCTCAGGGATCCCCCATTCCCACATCCATCCCCGCAGCGGGGTTAAGCTCAGGAAGAAACGAGAGGACAAGATTCAAAGCAGCAACCCCGGCATCCCACCCCTCCCCTCGGCACTCACCGATGTGCAGCAGCAGCAGCAGCAGCGGGCACACGACGCCCAGCAGCCGCCCGCAGCCGCAGCCCATGGTGCGGAGCGTCCCGCACCGCCGCCGGTCCGTGTGCGCAGCGCTCCGCTCCCCGCGCAGTCCCGATGCCGGCGCACCGCCCCCAGCCCCGCCTCCCCCTGCGATGCTGCGGGAGGGGACGGAGCTCCTCCCCGCTACAAGCACTTCGTTCTCAGACACTTGGATGGCGAGGTTTGTTTGGGGATTTTTGTTTGTTTGTTTTTTTTCTTCAAAAAAAGTTGTTTATTGAATTGTTCTGAACGTTACGTCCGAAAAAAAAATCGAAATTTAGATAAAAAGAAACCTCGGCCCTCCCAGCCCTCCCCTGCCCACCCCGTGCGCCCTGGGTGTAAAATCCAAAGTAACAGCTGAACCAGGAACGAGCTCCCACCCCCACCGGAGTGCCCACAGCCCCACAGGCGATGCTGGGGGTCGATAACTGCCCCCACTCCCCTCATCTCACTGCTACCCTCTCCCCCCCCTCACCACACCTGGAGCAATTGCACAGGGATGGCTCTGAGCCCCTGACTCAACACAGGGACCCATTCCTTGTGAACGACCCTCGCCCACCTCCTCCCTCCTCTGCTGATGGCAGCGGGCTCCAAAGCAAAGGGGTGAGAAACCCTCTGGCATCAGCTGGAGGGGGTGGAAAAGAGACTTCCACCTCTCCAAAGAGGCTATTGAGGACTACAAAGCCAAGTGAGCGTTCAGTGACTATTTGGGACTACACGCAGGTGACGTTTGCCTTAGAGATATTACACACGAGTTGATAGATTTCCTGGCAAGAGCTCTTTAACACAAGCCATAGGTGGTGAGGAACTACAGGAGCCAGGGGAGGGCGCTCCCCAGAGCACCCGGCAGCCCCCCCTTAGGTCATGCCAGGAGTGACCAGGCCCTGCAGCATGATCATCAGGCGGCGTGCAGGCTTGCTCAGCGTGTTGTGAGGTTCCACCTGGAGGAACTGGAAAAGCTTCTGCCGCACCTGGCTCATGACTGACCCCATATGGTCCCGGGTGATGGGGTCACTGTGGTCCAGGTGCATCACGGCCTCCTCCAGGTAACTGCAGGGGAGAAAGATGGGTTAGAACCAAACAAAGCGCCTGAGCCCACGCCAATTCCATCCATCTCAGCACTGCAGAGGCACAGCTCTGCTCTTGTATGGAGCAGTGCCTTAAGTTCAGTCATCAGAAAACGCTCAACGGGAGCAGAGTGGAGCTCTCTGCTGTGCTGCAGCCCCATTCACAGGCTGCAGGACCTGCAATAAAGCTGGCTACAAGTGGGGCCTCACTGCAGTGCTGAGGCAGCACTTGACCACACCTGGGCAGAGCTCTGTGTATATTTTCTTTGATGGCATTTTAGCAGAAGGCACTTGGCAGACAGTAAAACTCACAGCACTGAGGCTTATTCAGAAGGATATATTTAAGGTCTTCTCTTCCTATCCAGGGAGGTGTGGGAGAAGAGCCTACACTTCAGCCTGCAGCCACTGTAACCACTCACCAGCTCTCCTGTAACTTACAGCTCTCCTTTCTTTCTAGCATGAACTACCTTTATCCTTCTAACTCAGTGCTGAGATATTTTCCAAACATGCCATTATCAAACCCTGCAGGTACCATAAAAAGTTTGTTTTCCAGGGCAGCTAAAAGGGTTCTGATTCTCAGTCTTAAAATGCTGGTGGCACATGTGTCAGCACAGGCACATGTGTTTTGCTCAGAACACCCAGCAGACAGTGCCTCCCGTGGCTCCTGCTGACAGCTCCACTGAGCATCGCTGGCAGTCATGCCTGGAAACAGACAACACTGAATACAGTGATGGGTTCGTTCAGAATTGCAGGCAAAGCTTCCAGCTCTGAGCACTGAGCTACCCAGGGAGCACAGCACTACCCCCCTCCTGTTAACTCCACGTGGCAACATTTCCTTGGTTAAAGGCATCACTACACAGATTTCACTTACTACTAACAGCCCCAAGAAGCTGCAGCCTTCCTAGAAGAAAGGTTCTGCTTACACAGAGCAAGTTGAGAGCCAGCCATACACCTATAGGGACTCAAATCCACGTGTCCAACCATACTCACTTCAGCTTCAGTTCTGTACGAGTACCCAAATCCGAGGAGAGCTGCTGAATGAGTGAGAGCAGCACAGGCTGGGACAGCGGGCACGGCTGCTGACCAAACACTTGCTGCGTGTCCACAGTCTCACAGACATACAGAACCAGGTTGAGATCAGCTGCTGTCAGAGCCTGCAAGGCAAACACAGCTGTAAATGCAGAGGAAGCACCAGGCAGGTGAAGGACATGGGACAGAGCATGGGACAGCTCGATGGCTCGCCAGCCTCTGCTAGCAGAAGGCTCAGCAAATCCCATTGGTGCAGACAGGACTGTGTGTAGGCTGTGTCTACACTAAGAAGACACCCGTGTCTGTTCTAAGCTGAGCAGACAGGTAGCTCAGCTCACAGCCAGGCACAGGGGACCAGGTTCATCGGCACCATGAAGCGGGGCCATGCTTGTAGCTCAGTGGCACAGCACTGTTTCTATTCTCAGTGGAGTTTGTCTGCAGCAGCTCAAATGAATCTGTCTGCATATTCAAAGGCAAAGCCAAGGTCAGGTCCCAGCTGGCAGATCTGCCCGGAGAGGCTTACGAAGCTGTTGCACTTCAGGGGTGCACCATGTGCTGCTGCTCATGGCAAAGTCACTGCCTTACTGCAGCACTGATGCTGTCCTGACATGATAAGGAAGAAGGAACTTCAGTGCCACCAATCATAGAATGTGCATGGCTCTGGCCTGACCTGTGTGAGTGCAAACGACCCCCCTATGCTGTTTGCTGCTACAGGTCTTTTCAGCACTTATGCCCTCCACCTTAAGGAGCCGGTTCCCCCTCACTCTGTCCTCTAAAATGCAATGCTGCCCAGTGCAAGGAAGGCCACGTACCTGCTGGAAAGCTTGGTTGAGATGGCCCTGCTGGAGCAACTGAATGATGTGAGTTTGCTGAGACTGGAAGTCCAGGTGAGTGGAGGGGATGGGAGTCCCTGCAGCCGAACGCATTGCCTGAACAATGCTCGAGGTGACAGCTGCTTGCTGCTCCTTCATTGCCAGGCTCACTTCTCCTTTAATGACTCTCTGTACCTGAGTCAAAATCGACTCCTGCAGGCTAAACAAACAAACAAACACAAAGTATCTCTGAAAACAAGGTGCTGAGGGGATTCATTGTACAGTGCTTGTAGCAGGGAGGAAGCACAGGCTTGTTTATTTCAGCATGGCTCCCAAAGGGTCAACGTAAGTTGTTCTGAGGCACAGGTATTAGAAACAGGCAGCCCAAGGAAGCTCTGTGGCAGCAATGCAGCATCCCAGGGTGCATGTTGAAACATTACAATTCTGTAATTTCTGGGAAAGTGATGTTCCAGGAAACAAATCCTCATTACAACAGCACTTAATTCTTTAATATACCTGACAAGGTGGTGATGCTGTAAGGTAGATAGATCTCTGAAAGGCCAACCTCCTACAACAATCTCTTGCAAGCAGTGTTAACCCAGAGGTGGGATCCTCTCCTCAGCAACACGCAAAGAGCATCACAGCTGCTCTTCTGTGGTACAACAGCAGGGCTTCCCTGGGAGCCAGCAGCACCCATGCAATGGGATTGGCATTTGGTCTGATGCCCCCCCTGCCAAGTCTGCTCCACGATGAAGACCCCAATACACTGATATATGCTCTAATGGCTTAAAATAGACAGGGCTTCTATTTTAAGGAACTCTGCCCTGCAGGTGATACTAGCCAGTCTTTGCAGCTGGCAACCTGCCACCAGCATCACGGTGCACACAAGCTGAAGGCACTGCCAGGATCACATCTTGAATCTGGGACGGCTAAACAGGCACAACAGCTGAGAGGGCAAAAGGAGCCCGTAAAACTGTTGGCATGCCTGAGGACATGAAGAGGAAAAGCCTCGAAGAGACCCAAAGATCATTTTAGAACAGAGAGGAGAGAGTGACTTCAGAGCACTGAGGTCCACAAACACGCACATGGCATGACATGCATGTCCCAAGCTCCCCCGCAGCAGAGATACAGCTGGTTGTTCAAAGTGTTCTGTGGTCTTTGTTCTGTGCCTTACAGGGCAACAGTTACACCAGCCCACATGCTTTGTCATGCTACACAGAGCTAACAGGCAGCTCTGTGGTTAGGATGGCAAAGGGCTCATTTCCACGACAAAGCAGGGAGAAATTTCTTTTTAAACATCTGTGCTTCTCACTGACTTCTCTTTTAGCAAGCCCAGCTGCCAACTTACTTGCCCACAATAATGTGCAGCTGGTGCTGCACCTCAGCATGGATATTGGCTGCGATGGTGGAAGCCAGCTGCTCGGTGGTGCTCTGGAAGGTGCTGATGAGCTGTCGGAGCTGATTCAGCAGTGGGTCCCGGGCCTCCTGTTCTCGTGCCTTCTTGTTCTTCATGTGAGTCTCGAGCTGCTGAACATCTGCAACAGCCAAAGAAGAAGATAGTTCAGTTCTAAGCACTGTGGTCAGAGTAGAAATCCACCATCAGGCTCTACACATCCTGTAGCAGAAACCAGTGTACAAGCACAGAAGAGGGAAGAATGTACAAGGTTGCTGTGGGCTGTGCTAAGCTAACAGAAATCCTGCTTCTGGCCTCCCCACCACAAAGAATTACATGAGACACAGTAACAAAAGTAGGATGTGGTAATGCCACTGTAGTAAAGCCCAGCTGCACTGGTAGTAAAGCCAGCAAGTCAATGATTCATTGAATGACATCAAGCATTTCACAGCGTGGGTTACAGAGCCTGGAGCTGGTGCTGCAAGAGCAGGGAGTCGCCTACAAAATCCCCTCACATCCTTTTCTCAAGTGGGAAAGAGTAGCACGCTTTCAGATTACACCAGTGGGCTAAGAGCTCAACAGTGAAACTCTGAGAGGAGG